CCTGCTGACACATGGGAGTTAACAGTGGAGTTACTCAGGGCTTGGTGCTGAGGCTCTTCTTCTCACTCCACCTTCTAGCGCAAAGGGATCACACGCATGTAAGCAATAGAGAAAAGGATCCTAACTTCCTGACAACACAAAGTTCCACGACCATCTACCTGGACTTCTTTGTAAAAGAAAAATGAACTAGCTTGTTTAAGCCAGTGTTATTTGGGAGTGCTTGCTGTTCCTTGCAGCTGAATCTGATCCTAACTGATGCAATGATCCAACCAAATTCTCAATGATGTAAGGAAAGAAGCAACAAAGAAGGAAACATGGGACAAAGGTTGGAATTCACTAAAAATGCCCTAAATATCTACTATATATAGTAGGCACTGAGCTAGGAGCTAGTTAATTAAAAATGAATAAAACACTATATTTGTGTAAATAAAACTATGCAAAAATACATCCTAGCAAGGAAATCAAAGGTACTACTTTTAACTTTCTCCAATACCTCCAACATGGTATGCCAAAAAACAGTCATTATCTCCCCGCAAAAAAGAAATCTCTGTACCTTCCCCTCAATTATTCTGTAAATTTAAAACTTTTTTAAAAACAAAAACCTCCACTCCATATTTCTTATTTCTTTAGTATTCACACTCAAAACCTGCAAGTCATATCTGATTTCTTACTTGCACTTACCCTTGTATCTGACTACTGATCATATTCTTGATTTGCAGTGTAGTAACTTCAAGCAACTCCAATTGTGGTGCTTTTTGGATTCGATATAGTCAATAAATAGCACGGACATGACAACTAGTTCACAAGAAACTGAGAAAGTCTTTGGCATACACCAAGTGCATGGGTTTGTAAACAGGGTTATAAAACTGGACACAACTATTATCTGTAAGAATATTGTGAAGCAACTCACCATGTTAAAGGCACTAGTGAAAAACTTAAACCAATCATGGTTCTGAGATTTAATTATTTAAATGAGAAAGAAATCCTTATGATGACTAAACTAAGACAGCTTTTTAAATAGGCTGTCTTAATATACTACAGATGTACACTATCCAAACCATACAAGATCATCTGTTCTTGTGTCACCTTCTCTAGTTACAAATGAGAAATTTGAGATAAAAATAAAAACCACTTTACTATTACCTTCAGTAAGATATGAAGTGAGAATGGAAATATGCCATTTCTAATTAGCACTGATAAGAGTTCATTTTACTAGAACAGACACTTATACAATAGAAGATGTGCATCTGCCTCTTTATAAATGGTAATCAATTTGGGGAAAAAAGCCTATAAATTTCAAACAGCATCTGTGAAACAAAACATCATTCTGCAGTATCAAACTGTTCATTATAATTACTAGAGGCTCTAGAATAGTCAAGATGAATGAGGATCCAGCAGCCACTTGTGTTTAATCTTAGACTTTCTATTTCTCAGCTCACAAAGAAGCACCCTTGACTAAGAGGCCCTTCATAAATTCCATAGCTAAAGAGGTTAAATGGTTGATATGGTAATTCATAGATGCAGGACAATTTAGACTTGAATTAGCATCTTTGAAAGAATAATGTGGGGCATGATAGTATAACAAGAAATAACACTATACTTGAATAAGAACCTTCTTTTATAAATATTTGGAAGGCATACCTTATTTTCTTTATATCTACTGAGATCTGCTATGCAGTATTCCTTGAATAATTTATCATAGTATTTCTTTGCAAGTCTCTTCTCCCTAGATTCATTTAAAAAATAGAAATTTTCATTTAAAAATTCAACCAGATTGCTACTTGGAAGCACTGTCAAATAAATAACACATGCGAGATAAATATTAATGTTTTAAAAGAGGTCTATCACTCATATGTGCACAGAATACCTGAGTATTAACTATTAATAGTGGTTCTCAGGGAGGGAACCTAGAAGACTGACAGAGATGAGAAAGAGACTTACTCTACGCTTGTTACCCTTTGCAATATTTGGACTTTTAAAACCATTTTCAGGTTTTAATTTTACCCAAAATACTTCATAAATTTAAAAAGAAGCATGTTACAGGACAATAAACAATATTTTTTAAATGTTATAAATTATTTCCTAAAGACAAAACGAAGCAATGAGAAGTCAGTTAAAACTGCTAAAAATTACTAAATTCAGTAATCTGAGGCATGGTTATACGTCAATTCAGAACTGTTCTATGTAGGAGCTGAATGCCTTGGATATGTGACAAAGTAAGACAACACTCAGAGCAGGAGAGATAGGACTAATGCATTTGACACATTATGCCTCAGATAGCTAAAATTACCAATTCGTGTCCATTTCATCCTCCTCATTCCATAGGAATCTATGATTTTCTCGTATAACATCCATGTCTGTCTTGTCATTTTCCCTGGAAAATAAAACTATTTCGATTTAATTTAAACAAAGAATTAGTCAAATTTAGGAGGTTAATCATTTCTGTGAGATTTTTGCATACCTGAGTAAAAATATATGAAGATAAAGACAGTTTTATGTGTATGTATATATATATATATATTTATAAAAACTATTTCAGTATTTTGAAAAGGCACTATAAAGAGAGCTATGACGAAAGCAACTTAAATGGATAAGAAATGTATCCATCTCTGGCATTGGTTTCAATTATACAAAAGGTGCTAAATAACCAAAGCTAGGATGAGAAATCTGAATTAACACTAAATGGATAAGAAAAAATGAATGATAATAAGTTTCAGAATCTAAAAAACACCATCCTATTGAGTAACACCATGCTACTGAGATCTAATTTTAAAAAATATATGAGGTTTTCCATACCTCATTTCCATTCCTAGGAAGACTGACTAAAGGAGAAAGAAAGTTGAAGGGAATAATTTTTCCAGATGCTAACAGTATGGGAGTAGAACAAGGGATTGATGGGGAATGTAGGCCAAATTAAGAGGAGAGATAAGTTTGTGATAGATGAGATGGCGTAAAGTTTTTTAGGGCTCTATCAATTCAGAAAACTGGTAAGTCAGAGGGATAAACCCACACAAAACTAAGAGACTGAAATAGAGAGCCCCAAATATAGAAAGAAATTTCATGTATGGGAAAAATTAGAGTGAGGTTTCTTGTTTGCCTTGCCTTTTAAAAAGCAATCCCAAACATTGAGATCTAAAAATTTCATTATTTTAAACAACCTCACAAAACAAACAAAAAACCTGCATAATCAGGTGCATGTGTATTCCTCACATATCCTGTTATTGCCAGGGGCAGATGTGGCTCAGCAGGCTACCTGAGGCCTGATGCCAGAGAAATGGGGTCATGAGAAACTACTTAGTTAAAAGCTATGCTGAGCCAGACAGAAAAAGTTGAAAACCACATGAGACCATTTATACGTGGGATATAAACCTAAAAGCAACAAACAAGACAAACAAACAGAGACTCATGGACATGGACAATAGACTAGTGGTTACCAGAGGGTGGGGGAATAGGGGAGGTAGACGGTGTAAAGGGGTTAAGCACCGCCACCATCACCATCACCACTAACACATTACCACCACCATCACCATCACCACCACCACCATCACCACCACCACCACCACCACCACCACCACCACCACCCCCCGCCTACTGTTGAATTGTACACCTGAAACTTACTGGATTTCGTTAACCAATGTAACCATAATTTAAAAAATTAATTAATTAAGGGGGAAAAAAAGGTATGGATGGCTTCTCCACCTTATAACAAAAGAACTGGAATGGAAAGCAGAGGAAAACGACAGAATCAGAAGACACAGTAGCTGTAGATCTTCAAAGACACCCAGAGCCCCCTCCAATTCTGTGTAAATTTCATGGCACTTACCCCAATCGCCTGAAATCTTCTTTCTTGCCACCATAGTACAAAATATAGTCATTGACAAACTTTGTATGCCTTTGATACTAAAATGCAAAAAATTAAGGATTTCATTTATTCAAGCATTGTTCTGTGTCCATGATACATTAGTGAGTAGGAATAAAAAGCATAGTATGAGTCTAGGTTTTTAAATAAACAAATATTTATGTTATATGTGCTTATAAATTTAAAAAGATAGAAAAGGATAAATATTAAACTATTAAGAGTGAACATTATAGATTATGAGGCTTTCACTTTCTAATGAATACTGTTTGTATTGTTCTGAACATTTTTCAAGCGTATACTACTTGTGATAAAACATCTCTATCTGGGAAGAAAGAGCTTCCTTTTCTATTACTGACTACACACAGCTTCACATCACCACTCACTTTAATCATCACGATATGAAAAATAAATTATAGTTTCTAAAATTAAAGGTAAGGAGTATAATTTATTTTTCATTGTAAAATATAATTTAGTTATTCCATTAATGATAAAGCCTCTAGAATAGAAGATCCAACTTTTATAATATTAAATTCTAATATTAGGCTTTTAAAAAGAAGTAAATGTGAGAAATCAGATTTTTTTAATACTTGCTTTTAATATTCAAAGAATTCAGTCATGTTTATTTTCAGTGCAGTGTAACAACATATACGAGCTTAAAACTTATTGTTTTAAAAGCTTAATGGTACACTCTCTAGAGCTGAATATGCATATAACAGAATTGACCTTATCCATAATACTGTCTGTGATAACACCCTATTAAAGATACACAATGATTTAATCGATCACAAAGTGTTCTGATAGAGGACTGAAGCAGAATATGATATATCTAAAACTTGCAACAAAACGGTCAACATTTCAGAAAAGAAAAAATGAAAATAGCCAGATATCTGGAGATTTGGGTTCTAGCTCTTGGTCTATCACTAACTGGCCACATGACCATTGCTAGTCACTTAATTCTTTTAGAGCTAGGGTCAGTAACATTTTTCTGTAAATGGTAAATATGCAGGCCATTCAGGCCATATGAGCTCTGTCCAAACTGCTCAGCTCTGCCACTTTAGCATGGAAGTAGGCACAGATAACACTTTAAAACTTTATTTACAAAAACAGGTGGTAGGTGGGACTTTGCATCTAGGAAGATGGAGTAGACAAAGATATATTTCTCCCTATTCCTTTCACTTCACTAAGAACAGCTAAAATCCCTGGAAATTATGTACAAGACATAATTATGTACAAGACAAATATAGAAAGACACTGAAAGGTGGAGAGAACGTATACCAGCTATAGTACTCAGGACCCATGGAATAACTTGATGGTGAATTCCCCAGGTTTTCTTTTTGCCTTATAAATCCCAGACTTGGAAGTAAAGAAACTGACAACCTGCAAATATCAATAAGCACAGATAAAAAAGTCCCAACAAAAGCCTGCTCTAACTGAATAACCAAGAGGTAGTCTAATAAGACAGATATCTTTTAGACAATAACTACTCTACTCTAGCCAAACACTCCAGAAAAAACGATAGCCCCACCTCCACCCATGTCAGAAAAAGGGTCCTAGACTTTCACCCTCACCATACTTTAACTAGATGCCCCAATGTCACCAGATGAGTGGTGTCATAGAAGGCAGTGCAGATGCTGAAATGGTTAAGGAACAAGTGGCAGATGAGATCCATGAGAAAGCTAAATGACTGGGTTACAAGATAAAAGGAATAAATAAAGTGATGACATGAGAATTTCTGTAACTTAAAAGCATTAGCAATGATAACAAAGTGAAACAGATAATGACAGGTGGGGCTGGGGGTAGGGAGGTATCTAACTGACATTGTCTCCTTCTCCAAATCCTGACCATAGTAATGAATACTTAGAAATAGGTCTTGCTTGGCCTCTCTTTCACTCTCCAATATTTCCAACAATAATATGGAAGGCTAGTGGCAGCAGTTAATGTAATGAGCCATAGTCTTATCAAAAAGTTGAGCAGAGACATAACTATTAATAAGGAAGCAAGGTATAGCTTAAAGGTACAGCCCTAAGTCATGCCTGAGAGTCAAAGCAACAGCAGGCCTGAGGACAGTTCCACAGACAGACCTACTTTTAAATACAAGTTCTACAAAGACCTTAAATAGCCAAGAATGAGGTAGGAAGAGAATAAGAGTTAAAATGAGACAAGAGTAGTATAAAAATAAGAAATGTTGAGGGCTTGGCAAAAACAGTTGGAAAAAATATCTGCAAGTTTATAGATTCCGTAAACCTATTTTCAGAACATTAGTAATATGTTTTATTTTTTGTCTATAAATCTTATATATTAGTGAAAGAGAACTGTACTCAAAATTGCATAAATGGCAAAATTCCACATCAATAAAGACTTATTTTTAAAATAAAATATAGGTCTACCTGACTTCACAAGATTTTATAAAATAAAAAATATTTAAAAATATTTAGTTATAAAAACCTAGAAATATAAAAAGGATACAGCATCCATAGCTATGAGATGAAACCTTCTATTTCTTGCTTCTTCCCTATTAAGACAAATTTTATTTTAAGCAAATTCAAATGTCCGTATTATAACTAATATAATCAAATCCCCCAAGTCTCTGAGTTTACAAAAACATCTTAAACCAAAAAAATTAATTTATGTTGAAGTACCATACCTATCCAGCAATTCTGCTGCAACCTGTTTATGGGCCACCTTTCCATGTTTTTCTTTCTGAAATGGTTTTTTGAGCAGTAAATCATCTTCAATTGCCCTGGTTAGTTAAGAAGAAAAACTATTAGAAGAGTTCAATTTTCTCAAAGGGTGCTTCCTGTCTCTTTATATTTTCAGAATTTGGAAAATGTTTTAAAGAATTCAAGCCTTAACTTTAAAAAGACTTGGTAATCTTTAATGAGACATTTTATGTCTTTTTAAATAGCTTAATTAATATCTTAACTTTATTTAATACCTACAAAGTAGTAAAGATGAAACTAACAAATCTACAGATTCTTATGTCTGACTACCTAGATTCCTAGGCTCGAATTCCAGCTCTGTTATTCACTATCTTAATCTTAAATAAGATAAACCTACTTAAGTTTGGGGCACAATTTCTGTTTGTCAAGTAGAGATAACAAAGCTTTTGGTAACTGAAACTACAGAAAAAGAAGGGCTGATTAAAAGTGATATAGATTATAAATGATCAGTCTTAGTTACTTAGACAGATGTAACCCAGAGCAGAGATTATCCAACTAGATTTGCTCAAATTCTCTTCTTACAAAGTGTGATTTCTGAATGAAAAATCTTGAAAATGTAAAGCAGCATAAAACCTAACTTATTATAATTATTTCTATTCTTTTGGCTATCCATGAAGTACGAATACCTGACAAAAATGTTCAGTTCCAAGTGGTATGCCTAATATATTTGCTTTCAAGTGTAAAAAAAAAAGTTTTTATAAATTTGGTTAATATGAATCAATCAACCACTCTTAACAGATAAAATCAAGTTTCTGAGCACTGAAAGCTGAAAACCATGACCCTAAAGACAGCAACTCCACCAAGATGTAGCCTCCATATAAGGCCTAGGCTTTATCTACTGACAGATCTCGCCCCTTCTAATTCAACGAAACCTTCATGAACTCTTTTCCTTGACCACTTAGTCTTCTTATTCACAAACCATAAGAATTGTGCTGCATTATCATCTCATCTCCCACACTAGCCTCATTCAAAAGTCAAGTACTAGTGAAGAGAACACCAATCGAGCTCCATCTTAGCTGACTTTTGCAAGTAAGTCACTGATGACTGAAAAACAGATGGCAACAGAGAAATCTAAGAGCTTTAGTTAATTTCTTACCTCTTTCCCCTTCCATAAATCCCTTCACGGCATAAACATTGTCTTATTTTTCATACAACTGTTCACAAATTTTTGAGTCTATTATAGTTTAATGAACAAAAACTTATTCAGTAGAACATCGTTATCTTCACAAACACAATGCAAAAACTTTCAATTTTATTTATACTTCATCTCAATCTAGAAAAGATTTGCAACACAGATCAATAAAGATACCTTTTTTTCCTTTTGTTAGATTCTCCACAGTGTTCATCATCACTAAAATCAGAGTCATAGCCTCCATGACCATGCATCTATAAAGAAGTATAAAGTCAGTTACTTATAACCTAAATTGCCCATAGTTCAGGAAACAGAATAGTTCAAAAATTAGTTATCTTAAAAGCTACAACAGTTTTAAAGGATTGTGGTGGGTAAATGACTGTTCCTGGGCTGTCTAGACACCTAAAACTTTCAATCACTTTAAAATAACAGATTTATCCTTCAAAAAATGAAGCAACTTTTTTCACATTAGGCCAATAAGAGGCTACTCTTTTGACCTTTCCATTGAAAACCAGGTTTAGATGCTTCTGTGTAACTGCATTCAAGGTTTAGCAATGATTCTTTTATTTAACTCAGAGTAGTAACAGTTGCTGTGTATTAATCAACTTCATTCCGGACGTTATATTAGGTACTTTACAAACACTGCTTCTAATTCTGCAAGTTAGGAACTATTATCTTCATTTTAGAGATGAAGAAATCAAAGACAAAAGAAGTTAAATTATACAGAGCAAATAAGTGGCTAAGCTTATTTGATTCTTAAGCCTATTTTGACTATTCCAAATTGCCAGTCTGGAAAATGCTAATATTTTATTATAGTCCATTAGTCTTACTGTATTTGTGACTAGTACATTATCAATTTTTTAAACTTTAATATTCACTCTAACAAGTAGAGCACGAAAAAGAGGAAAGAACTCCCTAAACTTCACTGCTTTGGACCTAAGGCAAAAGATGTTTATAGTCATGGCTACACTGAATAAATTACTTCACTTTTTTGAGCTTCACCTGCTAAATAAGGCGGCTACATCAAATAATCCTTAAATCCTATGAGTCTATTATCTTTCTATAATTCCATTTTAAAGCTTAGGTGTGTGGGTGTATATTTCTCTATCCCACAGAATTCTAGAAGAAGGCTCTAGCCAAAGTTGGAGGAGAAGGTTAGAAGGCCAGTTGCTACTCTACCCCCACTTACATCTGTCTTCACCTTAACAGACACACCTGGATCTCACACCCCTTATCACCACAACTCCTTGTTCTAGCTGTCTATCATGTCTGTTCAAGCCACACCAGCTTCTCCTTATGTCCTTTCTTCACATCTTGATGAGAGACAGCCACTGTGGGCTGCTTAGAGATATGTTCTGGGAACAGCCTTTCAGAACGCAAATCCTGGCTGTGCGCTTTTCATGTGTCTTTCTTTAGGTGTGTTCTACAACCTGTGAGCCTCAGTTTTCCCATGTATAAAATGAGGCTACTCAGAGCACTGGTCACATGACTGGACATTGAGTTATCATATATGAAGGGTTTTAGAACTGTGTCTGGTACAGTAAAAACCCTGTAAATGTTAACTGTCATCATCATCACCTATTCCCGCACCCCGTGACACCACCTCCTACCCTTGTTCCCCCTCTTTCAGTTCTTTTTCCTCCAGCGGCTTCGTCCATCCCATACCCATCTCAATTCAGTGGTTGCACTAAAAAGCACTCACTTTAGGTTACGATAAACTGACGAAGGCCAAGAGAAATTCGATAAAGGAGACGCCGGCTGCCTCCAGAATCTAGCGGGGGAAAAAAATCAACTAGTAGCATATGAGGAACAAGTTTCGAGGTACTTCTCCCCAACCCCAAGCACACTCACGACCCTTCTCACGGACCCCTTCCCCTCCTCCCTGCTCTGCCACGTTTGCTCGCTGCGTCGTCGTTTTCTCCCTTCTCGGTAGCTGCAGGGACGACCCACTGCCTGAGCGAGCCGCTGCAGGGCCAACCCGTCTGCTGCCACCGCGCAGTTTCGCCACAGCCGCCACCACCAGCTCCCCGCCTCTCCCTACGGGTCCCGACTGGGCGCTGCTTCCGGTGCGGCTCGGCAGCGTGTCACACCTAAATGGCACCATCCCAGGCGCGCCGACTTTGTGCTACAGCCAGAACATTCCCGGGAAACAAAGGCGGCGGAAGAACAGGGCCGGAGGAGAGGTAAAGGCTGTCTGCTCTAAGTTGCAGCCGTCAGTTTCTTTCCTGGGCTTCCTTCCTTTTCCCTTTAAGGAGCCCCTCATCTAATCTTGTGTGTCACTGCTCGCACTAGGTCCACGCCCCTCGTTTGAAAATACGTTTTGTTTTAGAAACAATCCTGCCCGAATATCACCTGCCGTCCTCTTTCTAGTAACCTTAGTAACGGCTCCTCAGAGCATCTCCCCTGAGCGTCACAGTCTTCGATTTGCACCCTACCCCACCTCCCCGCGCAAATAAAACAGTTCTCATAATTAGGAGAAAAATAACTTTCTTTGGTTTCACCATCCACACAATAGATATCATTCCAAATGCGATGCTGGTAGCAGAAGAGCTCATCAAAAATGTGAGGCGAGGAAGAATAGGTAATAGGGGAGATTTCACAGGATTTTGGATTCTCTGCAGACAAGCGATCTGACACGTGTGAAAGATCCAAAATAGTTCCTTTCAAAAAAAAAAAAAAGAAAGAAAGAAAAGAAAGAAGAAACGAAGGCACGAAAAGTTAAATTATTTTAAATTCCACCAGGTTCTTGCTGTTTTACCTTTTCTACATTATTATGACCCATTCTGCTTTGCAGCCTAGTTAGTGACTGGGTTCATGTCTTGTCTCCCTCTGGCTGATGCTATTCATCTTTGCTTCCTCCTCGCTACCCAACACGGTTCCCTGGAAATCATAAACATTAATTAAACATTGGTTGAGTTGAACTGGCATGCCACTGACTTTTCAGCGGGCCTATTTTAGAGAAAACCTTGACACTTAATACACACTCATCATTTTACATGTTTTGTACTACACGGTAGATAACAATATTCTTATTGATTCAAGACCCCCATCTATCTCTGACAGTAACTTACTGATACACCCTGCCTGACCCAATGCAGTCAATGTGCTCTTAAAAATCTGTAAGTTGAATTATTATAAATTCAATTACCTCTAGATGCAATCGTATTATACTTCGATAAAAATATTTATTCAAAAACTTTAAAGCAATAGGAAATCTCACAATTTAACATTATACTATGTTAAATTATTTTAAGGAGCTCCTTCTAAAGTAAATATCTAAAATAAATGTTTAGTTCTTTTTTATCCACAAAACCAAGCATACTTGTACCTTACATTCAGTTTACTTTCTACCAGTATTTGACATTTAGTAGTATTTTATACCATTCTCAGTATATTTTTGTCTGTTGCTTCGTTTTATTTTTACAACAAGCCTGTGCTGCTATGTTATTAGCTTCATTTTACATGTGAGAAATAGAAAGACAGAACTTAAAGCCATAGATCTGGTGAGGATCTAGAACTTGGAGTACTTGTCTCTCTACAAAACCCAGTCTTCTCTCTGTGTCTCTGTGTGTCAATTTCGATCTCTCTTTCTTTTTAACTTGTCCATTGTGTGGGAAGTGGCTCCTGGTTCTAACATTTTAAGAATTTCAGATCTGTTGCTACAAGACTATTCAATCATAGATTTACATTTTTTTCCCCTTTGAGGCAGTAGTTATTGAAAGAGAAAAATATTAAAAAATGGATTAGGAATAGATCACATGATCTGAACTAAAAACAATTAATACAGGATAGAAAACCCACCTGATCAGGAAATCTGAAGTTAGCAATTACAGCTCAACAATGATTAAAAAAAACACTAATATTTATTAAGTGCCTGCTCTGGGCAAAGCAGTGTCCTCATCTTCAGGGTTACAAATATGTAAAAGCCATTCCTTACTCTTGAAAGTTGACTAGTAAGAAAGAAAGAATATATTGAACAATAACAACAATATGTTATATATATTATATTA